TATATATATATGCATTTATCTTTCGTACAGCAATGGATTGTTCACCATTTGCCGATGTGTTACACACGGAATATCAATGCCAGAGTGGCAGAGTCAGAGAGACCATGTGACGTTGTGACCTCCCAGGATGTCTCGTATGCAGGGGCAGCAGCACCGGTGTTTACGTCTGCAGCCATGCTGTGACCCCTCAAGTCCAGATCTGCAATTCTCCTTCTCTTTTCTCTTTTCTCTCTTAACGTCTCTTCCCTTTTACCCCTTAGACTAGGTTGTCGGTTGTCTTGCTTCCGCTATTGAACCTAAACCTGGTAAACTGTTGCGTGACGGCGAAATGATTGGACATAATTCGCTCGAGAAACTTGAGGTATACTCGAGGATCCATGTCTGATCGTAAACAATTATGAATTATTACTAAGTTAACGAGTAAACCCATGGGTTTTCAGCTACTAAGGCTCCAAGGCGCCAAGTATGCACGTGATTACACGATCAACTTAGATCACGACTATACCTGCTCTGGTTTAGACTCTCCTCGGATGTCTAAAAGATTAGTTGTATTGCGATCTGGTTCAGGTTTCGTGATATATCTTGTGTCATTCGGAAGTACCAATGACTATATACGATTACGGTGGATTTCTGGCGAAAGAGGTAGATCGAGATTGGGTTCGCTCAATGGGAAACTCAGAGGAAGTACGGTGGTAGAACGTAACACCGTGGAATGTGATATACTATAACACCAGAAGGTTCGTGGGCATAGATGACTTTATCTCTAAAGTTATATCTGCTATTGTCTGTGCCATAGCTAATAAGCGGGATATGCCTGTATCTTCCTAGATGTTGGTATAATCTGGATCATCAGCAGTGTCCCCTTATGCAGATAAGTTGGCCTAAGTTAAATAGTCGATTGAAATTGAAGGTGACCAGAAGAGGTATTCAGAGCACGCCAGGTGCTAAATTAGATGTATTTATCTCTGAAGTGCTTTCGAGGTCACATTAATATTAGTAAGGCTAAGGAATGATACATCCGAAGTTGACGGAAATGTGAAGAGCCAAAAAATAGTGGGAAGTAGAACCAATATTTCCTATATGGGAAAGTCTCATACTCCGTCAAACACATGTTGACCTGGTAAGTAACAATGCAGGGCGCCTATCAGCACGCTGAATTGACTGAACAGAGTTCCTTGAGACTGACTATCCTCCATCCTTCAAGTTCATCCGAAGACCCTGTTCACTTTGTTATGGTTACATCGAATCTTTCCTATAATTACCATGATATTCTAGACTACTACGCTACGCTATACATTCTAGAGAAATACAGCTTTTCCTTAACTGCCCAGCCTTGAGCCTTGCGCATCATCAAAGCATCCATGGTAGCTGACGGTCACGTGGGATACTTTCAGGATGATTGGAACATTTGCCACCGCCTTCTGTTTTAGTGTCAGGCCTTTTTCCGCCGTCGAGCTGTTCCTTTGACATTGACCAGAATTTCTTCTGCATCCTGGGTTTGGCCATCACTGCATTGACATTGTTACCAACCATTTCCCTGACTTTGTCCTCAAAATCACTCACCAAACTGTACAGCTCAAGAACCCCCTTACTTAGTGCTTTGGACTGGCTCCAGCACCGAATTGTATCTGAGCTCCGCTGCCGCCCAAGTTTCCGGCCGCGAGCATTTCGTTCTCACTCACTTCCTTTGTCACCCAAATAGCGACATATTCTGTTCTTAGCTCTATTATATAACGATAAAACACAGCCATGTCAGCAGAAGTTGATTACGCCGCATCACAAATCTTAGCTTCCGGCAGCGAGCGCGACCCAAGCTATAACGATTTCTCCTTCGTCCCCTTCTTACGCAATAGCTTCGGCTTCGGACTGGCCTGTGATGTGCCCGTCTGCAAGGCGTACAGTGAAGGCCACTGCCCCTTAGGGCCAGCTTGCCCCGATCGACATCCGACCCCATCACGAGTGACGACGTCCACGACCACCGCTTCCGGATTGGCACCGTCTACGACGCACGGGTCACTCGTCTGCAAGCACTTCCTCAAGGGGCTGTGCAAAAAAGGCCTCAAATGTGAATATCTCCATGAATACAACCTTCGTCGGATGCCAGAGTGCCAGTCCTTTTCGCGGTCAGGCTACTGCCCGAATGGAGACGACTGTCTGTATCAGCACGTGCGGGAGCAGGCTCGGTTACCGCCGTGCGAACATTACGATCGAGGGTTTTGTCCGCTGGGGCCGCTATGTGCCAAACGCCATGTGCGCCGACGTCTGTGCCAGTACTACCTGGCAGGTTTCTGTCCAGAGGGCAAGGGTTGCGCGGACGCTCATGCCCGGTGGATCGAGAACCTACCCAAGCCGTCAATTAGGGTGGAGAAGACTGAGGAGGAATTGGAGCGAGAGAGAATTTTGATCCGGGAGGAGCAGGAAAGAGAAAAGGAACGTGAACGTGAATGGAGGAGTGAGCGGGGACGCGGGGGTGGATTCATGCGTGGTCGTTTTAGAGGCCGCGGACGTGGACTATAGGCGGGGACATGTTTTGTGGGATTTCTTTTTTGGATAGGAGAGAAGAGAAGGTTATTTGTTCGTGGTGGATTTAAGCTTATTATTAGAACGTTGAGATACCCATTGATAATCTATTCGTATGTATGATCTAGTGAACCATAATGGCGGTTGCTATAGGGTATGGACGAGCGTATAGAGTATCACACAAAGGAACAATACCGCGGCCATTGTGTCTGGTTTCGTGTAACACAGTTTGCAGCCACAGATTTGGCTGTCGATTACCGTGACATGGCGTCGTCGTACTTGCAGAAGTGGATGACATCACGACAGCAAGGCCAGTGCATTGCGATAGTTATCCGAGTCACATTTCCTAGTCGTTGTAGATTACTCACCACAACGGAATTGAAGCGCAGAAGATTGTATCTTTTATTCCCCTGATTGGAAAGCATTCTTCCACCTGAATTAGAGATCATTCAGCAAGGTCCTGTTCGATCGAACGTTCTGGGAGCGGGAAAGGGGACCATTTGCTAATCATCAGTAAGACTCAGCTAAGTTACCAGCCATGCAGATTATTGGCCCAGGAGGCGTCGGTGGAGCAAAGGACATTCGGTTGGACCCCCAGCAACCCCCACAGTAGCCCTTCCAGAACCAATCACCCGGCGCTTCTCTCGAACCGAATGGATTCTGTCATCGATTACGGATCATTTGGCAAGCTTCCAATTGAATTCCGGTGTCGAGCTTCTCGAATGGAGGGGGTAGCCCCTACCCCTCGTGGTCAACCGTCTTCTCCAAGGAACGCAATCTCGCATATATAAGAGTTCTCGCCTGGTCCGGCTGATACTTCAATTCTTCCTCCATCTCCCCACTAAAAGTTCCTTCAAAACCCCCTCTCCAATAAAATTAAAACCACATACCGTCGCCATGGTCCCAAGATCGCTATCGTTTACGTACGTAACTTCGACCGTTCTGCTTATCTTCTTATGCGAGACTCAATGGCTAACGAACTGTAGTACTCCATGTACGGCCACATCGCCCACCTGGCCGAGGCCGAGAAGAAGGGTATTGAATCTGCTGGCGGCCAGGCCGACATCTACCAGTACGTCCACAAAGAAACACCAGTCGTAAAGCCCAATTGCTAATAGTCTTCCCATAGGATTGCTGAGACCCTTCCTGATGAGGCCCTGGCTAAGATGCACGCTCCTCCCAAGAAGGCCCACCCCATTGCCGAACCGAACACCCTGAAGGACTACGACGCTGTCCTGTTCGGTATCCCTACTCGTTATGGTAACTTCCCTGCCCAGTGGAAGGCTTTCTGGGACCACACTGGCGGTATCTGGGCCACCGGTGGCTACTGGGGCAAGTATGCCGGCCTGTTCGTCTCCACTGGTACCTTGGGTGGTGGCCAGGAATCCACCGCCATTGCTGCCATGAGCACTCTTGCTCACCACGGCTTCATCTACGTTCCTCTCGGCTACAAGACCATGTTTGCCCAGTTAGCCAACCTGAGTGAGGTCCACGGTGGTAGCGCCTGGGGTGCTGGTACTTTCGCTGTAAGATTCTGCATCTATGTCTCGTGGCCATAACATTTGCTAACATATCACTCTATAGGGCGCCGACGGTTCCCGCCAGCCCAGTGCTCTCGAGCTCGAGATCGCCGAGGGCCAGGGTAAGGCTTTCTACGAGCACGTTGCCCGTGTCAACTTCGCGTGACTGCATGGCAGCGAAGAGATCAAGCCCGAGTCGCAGCCTGCCGCTGCATCACAACAACCACAGCAACAACAAAAAGAACAAACTACAAAGACAGAAGCTTCCAACGCTGCGCAGAATGGCCAGCAGAACGCACAGGGTACACAAGGGTCAAAGAAGGAGAAAGGCGAGGGACCTTGTGGTCTTCCTAAGTGTGTCATTTCCTAATCGACTCCATTGTATACCCACCTGATCTTTGTGCTTTGTTCGTTTTGTTGTTTGTTCCAACGATACCTGACTTGAGGTCTGACAATCATACATACCTACACATAATAATAAAATACTTTATGAACTTTTCAATAATGAATGGTGTATTTGTACAATATATTGCATTGTCGTTTAGTAACTTGGTAGTAAAATATGAGGTGGTAAGAACTTCGAAGTAGATTTTTATTCTGTTCATAATCTGATTCTGAAAAATCTTATAAAATAAGTATTCTTTAGATCTCTAACCCAATTAGAATGAAGGCCTCTGCTACTTAATAATAATTAGCTACCTAGCATCGGTATTCAGATTACGCATTGTACATCAGTTCTGTAAGTGTTTTCTGCGGGGTTCTGGTACTAGGGCGGTAACTGGCGGCGATGACGATAGAGCTGTTCCGCCTTCTCGTCTTCTCCTCCAACTTAAGCTCTCACTCACTTTCATCTTGTCTTCAAACCCGCCACTGCCTCTCACTATACCTTATACTTTCCCATCGTCATGATTCCATGAGCTCAATCAATATTTACGTATACCCGTAGACAGCATCACTCACTGCTACTCAACTACCTTGCACCTTAACTCTCATCAACACCAAATCCTTCCCTATGGCATCTCGGCCGATCGTTCTGAGATTCGAAAGCCGGAACGGTCAGTTCCGGCTGACAGTCAGCCCACAAGAACTATTTCCCTCGCTCAAGCAGAAGGTATGGCTTGGTAATCTGTGTCAACCGTGTCCCTGTATCTCACCTGGTGCTAGCTGGATGCTAACGATCCCATCTGTAGATTTTGGAGCACCTCCCTCCAGATACTGAACCCTCTTCGATAAACCTTTCCAACAAGCCCATAGGTACCGGTGGAGATGAGAGACTTTTGGACACTCTCGATGGTATTGCGCTTGGAACTGTCGGTCTAAAGTCAGTTCGCCAATATCGGGCGGCATCTCTACTGCTCTTGAGCTTGCTAATGCTGGAAGTAGACACGGAGACAAGCTGTACCTTGGCTATCAAGAAAAGCAAAACTTGCAAGACGGCTCTGTAAATGGTAATACTACGAATGGGTCTTCTCGGCGTCTGAATGGGGCCCCTGTCCCGCAACCCGAAACCGTTTCGATTCGCCCCCAACCTACCTCACCGACCGCTATAATCAAAAACCCCTGGGATGTGGTCCAGCAGTCGCCCCTCGATGATGCGTTGGATAAGAAAGATGGGAAAATAAAGCGCAACCGTGACATGAAAATGTGCAAGCATGGTCCCAAGGGCATGTGCGACTACTGTATGCCACTAGAGCCTTACGACCCCAAGTACCTTGCAGAGAAGAAGATCAAGCATTTGTCGTTTCACTCCTATTTGCGGAAACTCAATGCTGCGACCAACAAAGCTGAGCTCAAGAGCTCCTTCATGCCCCCACTCAGTGAACCATACTACCGAGTAAGACGGGATTGCCCGTCGGGACATCCTTCGTGGCCTGAGGGAATCTGCACCAAGTGCCAACCAAGTGCGATTAGCTTGCAGCCTCAAGAGTTCCGTACTGTGGACCATGTGGAGTTCTCTTCTCCTGATCTTATTAACTCGTTGCTCGATTTCTGGCGTAAGTCCGGTGCTCAACGGTTGGGATTCCTCTACGGTACCTACGAAGAGTACACCGAGGTTCCCCTGGGAGTCAAAGCCGTGGTCCAGGCGATCTATGAGCCACCTCAGGTGGATGAGATTGATGGCGTCACGCTTCACGAATGGCACAATGAGAAGGAGGTGGACGAGGTCGCACGCTTGTGTGGCCTTGAGAAAGTCGGTGTTATATTTACTGACTTGCTAGATGCTGGACAAGGGGACGGCTCGGTTGTCTGCAAGCGGCACATTGATTCATACTTCCTTTCGTCCCTAGAGATTACATTCGCAGCGCGGTTACAAGCCCAATATCCGAAAGCAACCAAGTGGAGCCGGACTGGTCGATTTGGTTCCAATTTTGTCACTTGTGTTCTCAGTGGAGACGAGGAGGGTGCTATCTCGGTAAGCGCCTACCAGGCGTCGGTTGCGGCAGTTGAGATGGTCAGGGCAGATATTGTCGAACCGTCTGCGGAGCCCTCGGTCATGCTCGTACAGTCCGAAGAGGATGACTCTGGGAACAGGTCGCGGTATATACCCGAAGTTTTCTACCGAAAGATTAATGAGTATGGTGTTAGCGCCCAGCAAAACGCAAAACCAGCATTCCCTGTTGAGTATCTCTTGGTCACTTTAACCCACGGATTCCCCACGGAATCCTTTCCTCTTTTTGCTGAAGGTAATTTTCCAATCGAGAACCGTGAAGTCATCGGCGAAAGCCAGGAGCTTCGTCATGTCGCCAAAAAGCTCGTGCCCCACGGCGACCCTGACAAGGCAATTCGCGCCGTATCCGACTTCCATCTTCTGTGTTTCCTCCACTCTCTGTCCACATTCAGCAAGGTAGGCAAACCACCATAGACTGGTTTGATGATCGTGATAAGCATTGACACAACATCAGGACGAGGAAGCACTTCTCGGCCGCGTTGCGACAACACATGATCCCGCAGACGGAGTCCAGTTGATAAACACCCCCGGGTGGGCGACGTTGGTCACAATTCTTCAGGAAAGTGGTGAGCGCCCCCCTAAGCGCCCCTGGCTGAGCTCGGCCGATTCTCCACGCGCAGTGCCCCAAGCCGGAAAACGTTTATTCCCCTCAAGGCCTGAATCTCCAAAATCAGAAAGTGAACAGCTTGCTAAGAGGTTCAAGGGAGCTAGTCTAGAGTGACTGGTCGATCCGAGCCGCGTAGCCACATTCCCCGTCGAAACATCATCCACCCTGCTCCCCTCGGTCAAAGCTGCCATCAGACGTCTTGGCCTAGCGTACGCCGGCTGTGCAACAAACGTGGTCGTGCCTTGCAGTATTTCTTGATCTGTTCTCCGACTCCCGCCAACCCTATGCATATATTTCGGCTGGTTTAGATCCCAGGTTGTGAGGCCGGATGTCTTGTGATATAGCTCAAAGATATTAGATGGTATGGATGGAATATAGCTACGTTGCTGGAAAAAGTCGAGTTCCGGAGCTGCGAACTTTCTCAGCGACAACTACTGGTGTCTCAACTGCTCGTGATTCTATAATAGTTGGTTGGATTCACAAGTTTATGTGGACTGCCTACACTGATTACAGAAAGTTAAGTACGCCTGCAGTTAAGATAACAAAGAGTGCACGGTGAAGTAGACTATATTACGTGAATCACACCACAATAGCCCCGTAAATGTTAAGCTACCACACATGAGGTTTGCAACAACGCCAACCAGAAAGGGGTAACATATAAAAGAACTAACCCAAAATAAATCGAGAAGAAAATGAAATGGAAGAGGAGGCTTGAAGGGGTAGAAACGAAAAAGACACGACAATCCCAGCGAAAGGGGATAAATTACTTCTTCCCCTTACCTTTGACCATCTGCTTCAATCTTTTCTCCACGATTGACCGGCCCTCAGCCGATCTCCACACCTCATGTGGTGCCCCACGAACAATATCCCAGTTTTTGAGATTCTTTGTCACTTTCGTCAATTCCTCCTGGGCCTTCCTCCATTTTTCACTCTTCCGGACTTCCACACCAGAACTGATGACCGTCAACGGCGTGTCAGGCATCTGGACGTGCCGCGCGGTCTGTATTTCCGAAGCAGTCATGGATTTGGCTACCAAATTCTCCTGCAACTTGGCCCGGATGACCTTGGCAGTTTGATAGGCGCTACGACCGATGACGCGGTCCACCCGTGTCCGGCCCTTGAAGATGGCTCCGGCGAGTCGATCGAGACCGAGAGGAGAGAGTACACCCCGAACCCAGAGGATGAAGCCTCGTCCCGGTGAGCCTAGACTGTCCAGGTAATCCTCATGCAGGGTGTCAATGAGCATGATCCCGTCTATCTCGAGGAGATGTCGACTGGCAAAAATGCGACTGTGGATGCCGCCTACTCCGGCGGAGACCAGGACCCAGGGGCCTTCTTCGCCGGCAAGAGCGAGCGCCTCAGACAGTGAGTCGGCTGCCATGCCAGCGGAGTAAGGGGACGGCGCGTTGTCGGACCAGCCGTATCCCGGTCGGTCCCAGTAGCAGTAGCGTTCGATTGAGCCGTTGCGGTACGCATCATCGATAAATGGCTGCAAGGTGTGTTCGACTGGTCCGTGATTACCTTCCAATAGAACTGTGGGAATGGGGTCTCCATCTTGGGTTTTGCGACCTGGGTTGCCGACACAGTTTAGATGGACCTGGTAGTGGTTGCCATTGACGTAGTACTTCTTGCCTGGTGCAGCAAGCGAGGAGTCTTGAATGCGGATGATCAACGTTGCGGTGAAGAGGATGGAAACGATGGCAAGGAGCGCCATAATGATGGTGGCAATCAGCACCGCCAGCCATTCTCGGAGGGGACGGCGCGTCTCTTCGCGACCTGTCAGACGCTCTTCCTCTTCTTTTTTACCCCAAGCGACGTAGCGGTTCTGCCCAATGGCATAGATGGAGATGAATGTCGCCCAAACGACGGAGGCGATGCCCACCCAACCTTCTTCGACACGAATATGAGCTACACCCAATATGATGCACATATCAACTAAGAGGAAGACAAATAGAATCGCGCCACATATTGTCATAGGCTTTGACGGTACGGAGAAGAATAGGAGTGCGATAATCAGGTAACCGACTGTTAACGAGGTATAGGCGAAGCTGAAGAATCCGGACCCCCGGGTGTGCATCATCGGCGGACTGACGAATATGGAGACGAGCAAGAAGGCCCACCATATAAAGCTTATCACGAGGAAGAGTGAGGAGAGGGCTCGTAGAGCTCGAACGCTCCAGAGGTTATACGGAGAGACCTTGCATTTTGAATGTCAGCGGGATAATGCATTTGGTCAACATTTGAGGTAGGGGTTTGTTCAGCTTACTGCAGGATCATCAGGTCTCAGATAAGCGTTATTATCGCGAGGGAGGAGTCTCGTGCGCTCATCTGGCTCTCGATAGTGTGATTCACGATAGCTTCTGGAAGACCCCTCATCCCTTGTCTGTGATTCCTCCCTTTCGGGGTCGTCTTTTTTCTTGTTCCACAGTGCGACCATTGTGTGCTATATTGGTGCAAAATGGTAGGCCTTATAGCAGCTCACGGAGTGGATCCTTTGTGTGAAGCAGAAAAGAAAGAGGAAGCAATAGTTCGAGTCCAGAGTAATTGAAATGCCAAAATTCCTCAGAGTTGAGGTGACGTCATGGGTAGGACATGCACCTCCAGAATTAGCAGGACAAGAGTAAGCTTAAATTTGAGGAAATACTAAGGATCAGCGGGTATAGAGCAATGATGCACCCGGCATCCATATCAGCGGTAATGCAGGGAGCTGAAACATTGGGATGGTTGGTGAAGTCATCGATTGCTCATGCCCGCATAACCATGGATTGGCCAGCATAGCGACGCCAACCAACTAGAGGACATGATCTTCTGGAAATACAATAGGTGGCTTCTCTTCCAATCGGTAGTACTGATACCTGGGTGGGATGTGGATGTCATCTTGAAAGATATTGGGTCTAACATGAGGGGGAAGGAGAGACTTAGAAGGAGGAGGACTATAGCAATGGTTAAAGATACTTCCTTCCAGGTCATATGACCACCGAGCAATTCTTCATGCCATGTTTCGATTCTACTTTCTAGAAGAGTCTCGGCACTTGAAGCCGAATAGCTCGCCGGCTGGTTACTAGAAATTAAGTAGGTTAAAACAACCCAGGTCCATCCGGTTCAGTATTTCCAGACCTGGGCGTGGTCCCATGACGTCATTGGGGATGAGTGGCCGGCCTGAGGCAGGGAAATGAACTGCTCTCCAGATCAACGTTTTGGATTTATTGTTCCTGTGACACGACTTCCAGGCACAGAAATCAATCACTGTCCGGTCCTCGAATAACCTCAGCTTCAGGACTCCTGGAAACAGATCTCCGAGGGTCCAATTCCCCAGACAACTAAATACAATAGAATCTCCTCCAGATCATACGGTCCGTCCTGCCGATCATCTAAGAAGATCCATTCATCCCACCACCCCACATGAGCTCCCGTCCACCCTCCCACCAAAGGAAAATAGCGCCCAATTTACCAGCACCAAACATACCATAACCCACCTCCATGAGTGAACTGCAGAAATCCTTCGCCAAAGCAAAACTGGCCAAGCTTCCTTCTGAGGCCCCACCGTTCTCCATGCATCCACCCCGCGATGAAGACGATTCCGAGTCCGCCTCATCAACGGGGACTGTGGTTCCCTCTCCCAGTCGGCAGCTGTTTGCTAGGTCGCGAGGGTGAGTCAATCCTACCTTTGTGATGCTGAATCGCTGCTACTGTTGCTCTCAATTGCGCCATTTGTGACTTTTAAATATTATTACATCTGGGGTGGTCTTCGTTTCTTTGGTATATCCTAACGCACGCACCTCAGATCCAATTCCATCGAAACCCTAAATTGGACCGACTTCTTCACTGAAGAGCTCTTTTTAGTTCAAGAGACAGACTCCGCGCGCATAGCACACCATGTATACCTAACTCCACCCACAAACTCGGGCCCGCTCTTCGTCATGCATCATGGCGCCGGTTCCTCAGGGCTCTCATTTGCAGCCTGCGCAGAGGAGATTCGCAAGATCCTCCCCACGGCAGGAATCCTCTCTATCGACGCGCGGGACCACGGCCAGACGTCTACATCCACGGAGACGGGAGAAGGAAAGGTTGAGTTGGACTTAAGTTTGGAGACGCTCAATCGGGATCTGGTTTTCGTTGTCCGTGAGACGCAGTCGAAAATGGGCTGGGAGAGTCTACCGGACATTGTCCTTGTAGGACATAGCCTGGGTGGTGCGGTTATCACAGATGTGGCAAAGAAGGGAGAATTGGGCGCGAAGGTGTTAGCTTATGCAGTTTTGGATGTTGTCGAAGGTATGTCATTCTTGCAGAAGAAACCCACTGTTGTATCCCTGGTTAGCCTAAAATGGACAGAAGCTTGCTAACTGCAGATACAGGCTCGGCAATGGACGCTCTACAAAGCATGGAAAAGTATCTTTCTACACGGCCTACACGGTTTCCCTCCCTTGCCTCAGGGATTGAATGGCAGTATGTCTTTATACTATCTAAATCACAGGCCTCTCAAACTTGCCTTGCCTACTATAGGCAGACATACACCATGTACTAACAATCTCAGCACCCGCTCCCGCACAATCCGCAACAGAACCTCAGCTCGAGTCTCCGTGCCTTCCCTCCTCTACGAGGAAACAACACCTACTGACCCCTCAAAACCATGGGTATGGCGCACTAACCTCGCTGAAACGAAACCCTTTTGGGAAAACTGGTTCATCGGTCTGAGCAAGAAATTCCTTGAAGCTCGTGGCGGAAAATTACTTCTTCTCGCCGGAACAGATCGGCTGGATAAAGAGTTGATGATTGGACAAATGCAGGGGAAGTATCAGCTGCAGGTATTTCCCGAAGCAGGGCACTTCGTACAGGAAGATCAGCCGGTCAAGACGGCTCAGGTGCTAGTAGACTTTTACAAGAGAAATGACAGGAGTGCTTTGGTACTGCCACCTAAGGTAGCAGATATGCAAGCCTCCGCGGCTATGAAACAGGGAGCTGGAGCTGTTCCACCTTTTGGGAGGGGGCAGAGTTCTCATAAACCATAGATGGCAGTTATCATGTCTATACAGTATACAAATGTACAAAGGCGAAAGTATAATGAATATAACTACCCGTAGATCAATACTCATGTGAATGATCTTGCACCTGTGCTAGAATCCGATGGGACATGACATCCCTTCGGTCTTATTCTTTTATGGTCACGAAGTTTGTTCGTTGTATCAAACCAATTAACTTCTTAATGATATGACCATGCGGAACATCTCCAGATGTTCAGCCTGCAAACTGGAAGTAGAATCCAACTAAGAAGCTAATACATAGCTAACTTTAGATAAATTGCAACGGCCACCAACACCATCCCATTAGAAACAAGCCAGGGCGCCGTCTAAGAAAAATCCAGCCACCAAATGCATGTGACCATTAATATGTCCCCAAAATAATGCTGCAAACCGCAAAGAAGATTGGACATAACAAGAAGACAAACAAAAAAGTGTGAAGATGAAAGGAAACAACCGGGTATCTGGCGCCGTTTTGCATAAAATTCACCCTCCCCTTAAGGAAGATAAGCGCCTCCAGCAATGATCAGATTCATGTTGGTGAATTTCACTTTATAGACAGGACTCTTCTTAGTCGGGAAGGCGCTGATTTGGTCCGGACTGACGACTACATCTTTGCCTTTCTTCTTTGGAGCAACTGAGCTTGAGGCCTGTGTACCTGAGGCGGCAACATTGCCTCCATCGACCTTGGTGCCTGCACCGCCCTCTCCCACCACGCGGCCTTGTGTTGAGTCTTGAGCAGGGCCGGTGACATCCCATACGCGGACGGTCCCGTCAGCGCCACCGGACACCAACACGGTAGACTCAACGCTCCAGCTTAAGGACCAGATACCGCCCTTTCCATGGCCACGCATGCGCTTCAAGAGCCTTCCAGGCGCAAGATCCCACAGAAGAATGGATCCGTGGTCATCTGCGGAAGCAAGGAGCTTGCCGTCTCGGCTGCATGCCAATGCCGTGATGTTACCGGTGTGTCCGGTGAACATACGGACAGCATTTCCTGTGGTCACAGCCCACATGCGTACCGTATGATCTGAGCTTCCGGTGAAGACATAGGCAGAGTTCGGGTGGAAGCAAATACAGTCGACATCTTGGTCATGTCCAACGAAAATACGTTGCTGGCGGATATGGTCTGTAACCCAGAGACGGGCAGTTTTGTCATGGCCTCCGGTAGCAAAGTAGTGCCCATAGGGACCCCACTGAAGATCCCAAACGGGTTGATCGTGTCCCTTATAGACGACCATGCATTGCCATAGATCCAACGACCACAGCCTGATTGTCTTGTCTGCTGAAGACGAAAGAAGCCAGCGAGCATTTGTCGGTGCTATAGCATTTTCCGTGCGTGTTATAGATGGAGCGAATGCTACAGCATACACTGGTCCCGAATGCCCAACCAGGCGGCGAGAGTTCGATGGTTGCGTCTCGTCCACACTCTCGTAGGTCGATGGAATTCTCTTTCCATCCAGACTCCAGACACGAATATATGACTCTTGCATACCAGCTGCAACGAGCATGTTGTCATCCGAAAAGTCGAGACAGTTAATTCTGGGTAGAATCAGCAACTTTTGAGTCCGAAGAAGCAAGGCAAGAGGCTCACCCGTCATAAGTATTGTGGAAAGTAAACATGCAAACACTGACGGCTGGCCCAACGCCGCCAGTTCTTCCTTCAATCCGAAATCTATCACGGTTCTCTTTAACCTTCTGAACCTCCATGGCAACGTCACGAGCAGTTGATGGTGGATAAGGAATATCGGCGCGAGTAGGGGATTCATCATCGTCCTCCTTTTTGATCATCTGGTCGAACTCCTGCAGAAGAGTATTTTGGCCTGGGGCCGGTGGGTTTTTGATGTCTTCATCCCCAAGCTCGCCTCTCACATCGGCTTCGAGGGTCTGCTCCATTGGGAGTTTTCCCAGCCTAAGCCTGGGCAAGGTTCCAGCCATAGCGGGGTTATCACCTGTATAGGCAGAGCAGGGTGATGTCCAGGTATACCCTCGTCTTCAGTAGGGAACGTCTGGCCCGCGCCAGCTTGACCCAGCATGGCGGCGAAGCTGAATCTATCGTCGACGGCACGTTCCTTGGTGATGATAGTGCAGTAGCTGCTCAGAATGGCGGACATGACGGAGCCGCCCTCCTTTTGCTTGCTCTCGAGGAACTGCATAAGGTTCGAGAACGCCGGGTTGCTTAGAACTATGCGATATTTGTTCCCACGATACAGCTTGGCAGTTGAATTATCTTGAACATGCTCTGGTAGAGCGATTGGCTCTAGAGCGCGAACATCCTCAGTGTGTTCAGGCAGAAAAAGGTTCTTGTTAATATCGAAGAATTGCTTCGCATCTTGAGGGTAGAAAGATGTGACCATGTTGAGGAAAGAATAAACAAAGAGCGGCCAAAGAACGCGTCTAAGCTCCGGCTACAGAGGGTCAGAAGTAATCTTTATTTCATGCGAACAGTATCCATACCTTATATAGGTCCAGGTTGTCTTCAACCCAGACTTTGAGCAGGTCTGTCGCCAAGTTAATTACATTGTACCAAGCTTGGAGCACCACGACTAACTTACCGAAACCAAGTCTGTACTTGGGACGTGCATCCTCTCCGAGAGGAGGTAAAGGGCGACCGTCTATTTCTTGATTCGCCGACTCCATGCGAAGCATGGCCTCGGTACGACTATAGCCCTTCTTGGCCAAGTAGTCGATGACCTAAGGCGGAGGACGTCAGCATGAAGTTGACAACAGAGCTACGTGCGAGTCTGGCAACAAAACAAAGAAAACACAACATTAAGGACAGAGCTAAGATGGAACGCGTATACAAGGCTCCAGTGTGGTATACATTAGGTCCAAACATAAAAGTAGAAATGTCACTTTGAGCTTAAGTTGAAACATAGTATGCGATAACACAGATGGAGAGGAAGCTCCACATTTATGGTTTACCAGGACCGCGGGAACGCATACACCTCGGGAAACATAATTGAGTATCCAAATATAATCGCACAGCGACTACTTACTATCTGGTTCAAATTCTGCTGAGACATCGCACCACTAGGAGGAGGTGGAGGGGGACCCGGCGTTGGAGCAACTGGGGTGGTAGCACCCATTGACTGTTGCGGAGGCATTGACATTCCACCACCAGGCCCCATGCTTCCACTTCGGGGCGCAGGGCTCGGGGCCCCGCCTGGAGCAGACATGGCCCTGGATATCTAATTCGAGGAGGCGAAAATGCCTAACCTGAGAGAAATGATGGGAAGATTGTGAGCAGAGGGATGGTGAAGGTCAAAGTAAACGGGAGCTTTTGCGGCGTCACGTTCTGATATTGCACTATACCGCCTTGGGATTAGTTTAGTTCCCCGGCTTAAGTAATCCGATTCTAGTGTTCCCCAGGCCCACTCACGTGATGCAAGCTTAGCTGCCTTCGCATCTTCATATTGCAGTCCTAGACGGAGCCTTACCTTTTGTATCGGCCTTTTCTCTTTGATTCATATACAAGCGCAACAATGGCGGACAGCAAGGAGGCCGGCAAACCAGACCAACTTTTTACATCGGCGGATCGCATACGCCAATTGAACGAAGTGGACAAGGTAAGAGGTGCTTCGAGCGGAGAAGCAGTACTTCGAGCGACAAACAACTAGACCGTCATGAAAGGCCCAATTGCTCACTAGTGCTTCACAACTACAGGACGTGGCAAGACTAATTCATTCCGCTGGCCTCGCGATACAAGCCCTTACCAACGCCAGATCCAGCGACTCGGCAGGAGATAACTCCCTCGATTCCCACAAAGCTCGTTTCAAAGAAGCTACATCGCAGTACTTTGCTCTCCTGTCGTCTATCGACGTGCGATTGCGCCGTCAGGTCTACGCCTTGGAAGAGGTTTCTATACTTGCTCCAGATTCGTCCTCCAGGACAGGCGATCTACCTGGCGCGAGCGGGGGAACTGCGGCAGCGGCAAACCCGTTGGATGTCAGTTGGCTGAACAGCCGAAAGGATACTGTAGGCAAGGATAAGGAGGCAGAGCTTTGGGCGGCTGCAAGAGGATTTGTCGAAAAGATTAGCAATCCTGGGGTGCAGGCTGAGAATAATCGTGAGGGGATGGAAGTCGATTGATCATTCATTTCGCACGCACCCCACTTCGAAAGGAACCAACCGATAACTCCCAAACATTGGATATAGTTGTTACAATATGGTGATCGATCTTTGTCACCTTCATTGTATGCACAACGGTCCATCCCAGGGGGTATTCCTAGTCTCATCTTTACCTCTCTTTTTACTGTCTTGGCCAAGACTCACAACGAGCCTCGGCATTTATGATACCCAAAGCTACTGAATCAAAGATTCTGTTGATCTTAATATTAAGGCTCTTGCGCAGCGATACAAAGTAGGTTCCGCAGTATAATTTTGATCCCGCAATTTGTACTTCTGTTACGAGTTTGCTACTCTCGATATGCTAGCATTGTCAAAACAATGTGAGCCTTAGATCTCCAGGAACCTTAGCTCGAATCTACATACAATAGGCTAGAAGTGCAATGTTGGAAGGCGCAAAATCGAAGATACACAACATACTACTACCGTGGCTACTGTAGTAAATAGATAGTCTTGGCAGTCACCAGTGACTACCTGTGCATGGACATAATCATCTCCCGCTGGGTAGCGCGGTCTTTGCTTGCTTCCGACAAGGAAGCCAGACCTATGACATATTAGTATATAGTGAGAAGACCGTAAATAAGGGAAGCTTACTCCGGAGTTCGCCAACGACATCCTTCGCTTTACCGAAGTAGACCTCCTCTATACGCACGAGGTTAGTATGTCACTCAGAGAGGTATAGCATGTACGGAGCAAGCCAAGAACTGTGAAACATACGCAGCAGGTTCCTCATCTTCAGCTCCATATCCTCAACGAGTCGACCAACATTGGCGACGTGGCTTGCATCGGACTCAACCGGCAAGTCCACCTCCACTTGTCGGGTCATGTTACCGCTCAGATCCATTTCGCCCAAAGACTCGGTCTCGTTGGCCAGATGGAGGATAACAGTGCTGGTCAGCTTGTAGTGGGACATACGAGCCCGATCGGTAGCTTCAAACACGTGGATGCTGTCCCATTCTCCCGAGCTCTTCGCACCCGGCGTTACCCCTGA